TTAAAATTGTACAATTCTAATACTCGAGGGACCAAAAACACATATATTTAAGCCTTAATATTACTACGTCTATTCTTATATATAAGACTCAATTTCTAATTTACTAAAATTAAGAAAAGTAATTAATTTAATCAATATTTCTTAATCAATTAGAGTGGATATTTTATAATACTTTTTTCTTCTAATTAATACTTATCTGTTTACATTTTAGTAAATTAAATTATAGGTATTTCAATTTTAAAATAATTAATATATAAGATAGTATGAATTACATCCTCTACATACACACACACACATATATATATATATATATTATAAAAGTAGTTATTATAAGTTGAAATTTATAAATAAAACGGAGGTAGGGTAATTTAAACGAAAATTTGATTACTTTTCCCCCCTTTTTCACGCGGCCAGGTTAACAGTTAGGTGTTACAAATTTGGGTCAAAGGTTATGAAATTTGGCCAGAAATAAAACACAAAAATGAGCAACCAAAGTGATGCTAATGTAGTGCATCAAGATAATGTCGGTCACAACCTCAGGTTAAAGGCTATGAAACAAAGCACAAATAAGCACCAAAATTATGTAAAGTGAACGTTTCTCCTCCAGATAAATAATACAACGGCTAAACAAGAAACTCTGCAATACATTGCATGCACCTCCTTTATAAATGTAATGCACTGCGGAATGAAATAAAAAGAAAAAAAGAAAAAAAATAAAAATCAGTTTATTAGGCCTTTACTTGAGAATGAAATAAAAAGTCCAACAACTGAAGTGCTTTCTTCATCTACACAAAATTGCGTACAAAAATAAAGTGTTATTTAGCGTAATTTTGATCTCAATATTCATTCATATATATTCAATGGTGGTACGAAGTACTTATACTTTAACATCAATGAGTCACTCGATTTAACTTTTACATTATTAAGAACAATTTCGTTACAAGAATCTTCAAATAGATTCATTATAAAACTCGATAATAAGGAGTGTACTATCCGTATTGCGGAACCGAGCTTGAGCTCGGCACTGAAGTGCTAGATGACATCGAATGAGCGCTACGAGACATCGGCCAAAACAAAGGCCCACTATCTGAATGAATCACAACCGACCTCAGGCCCAAGATCTAAATAAACCTTAATTCACACTAAGGTACGTGCATTATATATACGAGACCCATACACTCACAAATACTAACTTTAGCATCGGAGTCTCTTTTGCAGGTACCACCCCTACTTCGGAACGGCCGACATACCCAGCGAAGGAGGCTCACTGATCTTGCCTAGCAGATCCTCTCTCCCGATCGATCTCCGGTAAGAACAAGGAGTTTATTTATTACACAATTCACACATCTTTCTCCATCAACTGAATTGACTTGATCTATATTTTCTTGTCCCTTGGTCACATTAATTGTTAACTTTCTACCAGCAGTTAGAGGTGGAAAAATAAATTATATTACATTTAAATATAAAATAAAATTAATTAGTGACAAAAATAGAATTCGATAATTGAGTTAGAGATTTTTTTAAAAAATTAATTAAACAATTACTAAAACCATTCCTTTACAGTAAGCCACTTTATCTAATATTTTGTTCTTAAAATTGTTAACCAAAGAAAGAACTAAAGGGTCGCATGCATTATGTGAACTCTTGGTAAGTCCCATTTGTTAACTACTTTTGTTTTTTTGAAGGCAAAATTAATTTTATCAAAAACCATTAAGATTTCACAAGAAGTTATTACAACAGTAGCATGCAAGAAGTTAACTAAGAGTTTTCGAGGGTACCATTTCTTTTCATAAAATATCATATTGGACTTGTGATCAGACTCTATCCAAAGTTCATGCATAATTTGTATTTGTTTTTCCTAATTATTAATATTAAAAATAAATAAATATATTATGTAAAAAGAAAGTGAAAAATGGGTAAATTGATCAGTTTTGTAAATTCTAAACAAATAATTTAATCATTGTACATAACTAGTGAGAACGTATGAATAAATATTTTATTTAAGATTTAACTATATAAAATCAATATTTTTAGTTTCGTCTTTCTTTATATTCAAATAAAGTCTAATTACTCATAAAAAAATAAAGTCTAACCAAAGTGTTCTGCAATTCGGTCCAGAAATATGAGCAAATACGTAGTAGGTCATAAAAATTAGTCTCTGTAACTAAAAATTACTATCACGCCAAAAGATTTCTCCCATTAATTACAATATCATATATAGATTGAATTTAATACATTTTAACTCGTGACATTAATATTTGAAATTATAAAAATTGCAAAGTGCTGATCAACGAGTGGATTAAACTACTACTTTAATTTTTGATACATATATATTTCCAAAGGCTGAACATGTTGCAGCAAAATCATTTTCACTGGTTATTTTTAACCAATATTCTTAAAACATTAGTTAAAAAAATTCTATTATTTGCACATCGGTATTAAAGCACTAATAAACTTTACAATTATTTATTGGAAAGCAAAGTCAAATAGAATATATGTTAAAATATGTTTTTTTTTACTTTATGTTTTCTTGATTTATTAAAAAAAAAGGTGTGTAGATAATATATTAATGAGAAAAATAGCTTCTAAGACTATCTCCTAATAATGGTTGACAGGGTTCTTAATATGAACATATTCTTATAATGATGTGGATGTTACAAAGTATCATTCTTCTACGAGAACTGCTAAAAAAAAATTTGATATGTAATAGCACACACTTTATAATGATATAATATTTATTATTAAAATTATTTATTTACACTATATAAATATATTAAAAAAATATAAGTATAAACTATAATGATATATAATATATATTATTAAATCTCATTTAAAATTAATATTAAAATTATATAAAATTATATGTTAAATATATTTATATCTATATATATTGTATCTATAATAACACTTTTTATATGTCATTGTATATAATAATTTTTATAGTAAATTTTCAAGAACTTGTTCTTAAATAATAATTTATTATTATTATTATTATTATTATTATTATTATTATTACAATTAATTGTGAAACCTACATAAAAGAAAATTAAAAGTTCAAATTAAATTCTTCCATTAGAGAAAAATAAAGAATGTTCAAAAATCCTATATAGGCTTGCTGCATTGCAAAATTCAAAAAAAGTATATTAAAAACCCAAAATAAGTTATACTGCCAGAGATGATCTAAGTTGGTAAGTGCTTTGGTAATCATAGAAATTCCATGTTATAAGATTAGAAGGGTATGAGATTGATGGATGCAATTAGGAAACAAATTAAAGGGAGGAGGTTGACCTAGTTAATAGAGGTGTAAACTGAATTGATATTATTAATTAATGGATGGTGTGGTAAAAATGAGTTATATTGATGGCTGGCCTCGTTTAATTGGCTAAAAGGTCGATTTTGAAAAATCTAAGCCCAATTAAATTTTGGTCTTCATTAAAAGTTTAGTTAGTTTGAAGTGAGTCAGACTGTTGGCCTATTTATTTATAAATATTTGTTAATTTAATTTTACTTATTTAATTGGGCTAGACTTTAAGCTTGAATTTTTTTTTAAACAAAATGTGAAAAAGTTTAGATATTTAATGTCGAAGTTAGACATTTAACCAGTGACGCTAATTTTTGTTTTTCTCTATGAAAATTTAAAATCAAATTCAATTTATTTTTTAAAATATAATTAGGTTTGGTTAATAAGTTTTTGGTCTACTCAACTCAAAAAATCTCGACTCACAAATAGATTAACTAAAATTAATAAGCCAAAACCAATCAATTTTAACAGTCGTATTAGTTGGATTGGATATGTTATTGCCTCTTTCCAAATTCTTGTGTGATCATTCTATTACCTTTCCTGTGTATGCTCAATTTTAAAATAATGACAATCTTACTGTCATGAGCATTTAAGAATGGCAAAATTATCTTATGTCCGTGAATAAAATCAAACATAATTTAAGGGATATATTTTTCCCCTCATACAGAAGGAATAGTTTATTTCCTACACTCAATTATTAAAAGGGACAGAAATGAATATTCTTACTGTACATGCTCATGAAATTATATCTTTAAACACTCTTAATTGTTTAAATAAATTTTATTCTTAAGAGCAATCATAAATTATAATCCTTTTTCTAGATATTTTAGTAACTTTTATTGTTGACAAACAATATCTGTAGATAATCATGAATAGTTAGTGATTAAAATCTGTCAAACAATGAATTTTGAAAATAAAAAAACATGGTCTTATACCCACTTTATTAGGGAGCTGTAACTCGCTTCATTACCACTTCTATAAGCTTAGCTAGTTTTCTGTGTGAAGAAAATTAACCAATACTACTTATTTTTCTTTTCACATTTTACCACTAAAACAATAAAATCAGTTTCTTTATTTTATCTAGTGAAACAGTCAAACCAGTTAGAAAGTACTAATAACAGTTAGTAAAGTTGAAAAAAGTATATGTTTTAGTCTGAAAACAAAATAATAAGAAAATAGAAAGCCTGTCCAAGGAGTATTCTTTTTGAATGTAATCAATTGATAACCGATGAAACGACTTTCAAATATAAGTTTCAATAAAAAGAAATATTATTAAACCGACAAACAACGCAAAAAACCATACAATACAGCAAGATAGCTTTAACCACTAACTGAAACCACCCTAGACTGTAGAACATGTTATTCGTGACTCACTCCAAAATCTTGGTAAACTTTTTTCTCTTTTAATTTGGTCAACAAATCCCTCGTAAAGTTAAGAAACAGATTTCTTGTGATACCAAAACTGTTATAGCAATTAAAAGATGATAAAGTTATACCAATCCAAACTATTGATAGGGATCATCAACTATCCCGTTCATGGTTCACGTGATGTGTTCATTAAGTTCTTGTTAGCGAGGATTTAGTACTCTTTAATTGAAGATCAATCGATCAAAGCCTGATTATTGAAGACAAAACTAAAATGCAGTTTAATTTTTTTTTAATTAAGATAAGATCATAAGAGTTTAATAAACATGTGATAAGATAAAACTTCAATTGTAATGAGAAATAAAGACCTAATTAAACTCCTAATAAACCAGATGATAGTCTGTAGGGAGTCTTAAGCCACACCTAAGGAAAATTGTTGAGGTAGCATAGCCCCAACAATCTATTACAAGCTCTATAGTTTAACAATTCTCATCACGACTTCCGAAAGGGATAAACTCTGAGAAAGGTCCACTACTGTTGTTGTTCCTCCTTTGAGCATTTCCTAGCTTGGTTTTCATGTACATGCCAAAGACATAAGAGCAGAATCCCCAAATGCACAAAACAGTTGACACTGCCTTGTAACCTCCAAAGGAATCTCGATAAACCACAACCCCTCCCAACACATTCATGGACAACAATGCTGTGCTGCAAATCCCTCCGGTTAGTGAAGATGTCAGAAACACCATCCCTGCAGTTCCCATGAAGCAACACTGCCAAGTCACCACAGTTGCAACAATAGTCACCCAATAAACTGTGGGCCCCATGTCAAAAACCCTCTCAGCCTCTTCCTTCATTTCAGAAAACCCTCCATCCCAAGCCATGCCTGTGGTAGCCAACACTGTTGCTGCAATCTCCATGATCAACTGAATCTCCATCACCAATTGGTAGGAACGCACGTTCCTATAAATCTTCTCCATCACTGGGAGATACAAGGAAAACAACAAGCCTGCACCAACGGTGCAGAAGAAACCAATGAAGTAGTTTCTTCGAGTGAGCCCTTGTGGCCTCTGGTTGCTGGAATCCAAGCCTAGGATGATGGAGCTTAGGGTTATGAGGATCACACAATTGAGATTTGAAAAGTTTATTTTTTGCTTCACAATGATGGCAGAGAGAACAAGAGTGAAAACTAGCTGAGAGGATAAGAGAAGTGCCGAGGTTGAAACTGGGAGATATGCTACCCCCCATGAGATCAAAAGATTATTTAACCCTAACATGAGACCAACAAAAATTGAATACAAGAACGTTTTTGGTGTGAAATCAGTGAAGGGCTTCCTCTGAGAGGCACTTAGGAAACATGGTAGGAGAATTGGGATGAGCAAAAGAGGAAAACCAGCACACTGAACCCAAGTGGAGACCCACTTGCTTGAGCCCTTGTGTATGAAATAGAATTTGGAGAGTAAACTCGATGAGAGAGAACCCGCAAACAGCATAAGATAATTAACAACCAACAAGGGCATGTACCTACGGTTAGTCATGGACTTCTGATCTTCATCATGACGTAGTTCATTGCTGTTGTCCATGTCCGAAGAGAGATTTGGAGGTGACTCTTCCTTGCCTTGTTGATCAAAGGATTCAGTGCCGTTTGATTCGTTCTGAGGAGTGCTGAAACTGTGACGTTGAATTGGGGTTTGCGAAGTGGCCGCCATGCATGGACGAGAGATCGATTCAAAATAGAGAGAGATTTGTTTTGCAAAGTAAAACTATGTCTCTAATGCTCATGAACTTGTGTGTATTTATACACTTAAATCTAATCTCCTTTACAGATAAGGAAGATCTAATCTTATGATTAAATAATAGAAGTGGAATGAGTTACTGACATTTCTTTTACAGTTACATGGTTTACGATCAAAATGAGCACATATATTGAGAGAAATTCACGATGAAAGAAGTGTCGAAATTAGATACAAACAAATCTTGAACAACCCTATACAATTACATGATTGTCTTTGATTACGGTTATTTTCTTACTTGAAACGCACCCATTTCTCGTGTATATATGCCTGTATCTAAAAAGTTAGACAGATATAAGCTGTATCAATCGGATAAGTTAATACGTTTAATACTTTTATTTATTTATTTATTTTTTTATAAAACTTACATGTTATCATGAATTATATTATTATTATATAGTAAGTTTTAAATGATTTACAACTTTCTATGTAATTTAGTATGATATATATGGAAATGTTTATTTAAAGAATAAAATTTAGATACAACTTTTAAGATATAGTTGGTGTTAGTTGTTTTCCAATTGAAATTGAAATAAATTTTCAAATTAAAAAACAACTAGCACTAATGGCATTTAGAAAACTATACATAATTTTGTTCTTATTTAAGCTCTTATTTTAAGAAAAAAATGTTCTTTTTAGTAAGATAAATAATTTTATACTTTTTTTAAATGTATTTGTCTAAACTTTTTATTTTAAAAATAAGGAATTTTCTACTTCTTCAATTTTAACGAAGAAATAATAATTTTTTAAGAAGTATTTTTTTTATAATTACTTTATTTTAAGTTTAAACAAACTTAACCAATAATTACTTTTAAATATTATATTACATGTTAAAATTAATTAACGTGAAGTAGCGTCAATTATATTCACTAGTGGAAAAAATACTTTTAAAATCGGTTATTTTTTACTTTTAAAATCGGTTCTGTAACCGATTTTGAAAGAGCCGATTTTAAAAGTTAGACTTTTAAAATCGGTTAAACAACCGATTTTAAAAGTTAACTTTTAAGATCGGTTGTTTTATAACCGATCTTAAAAGTCTGGTTGTGAAAAAAAATTAAACTAGAACGAGCCGTTCCAAAACTGGAACGGGCCGTTTTAGTCGGATTAAAAGGCCAAAAAAATCACTTGGAGAACGGCCCGTTCTCCTTGGAGAACGGCCCGTTCTGCAAGGAGTACGACCCGTACTCCTAGGAGAACGGCCCGTTCTCCATGGAGTACTAGCCGTTCCAACTTCAAAATTTTTCCAAACTGCACCTGCAACGAAAATTGAAACGAGAAAAGAATGAGAAACACAAAAAGAACATAAGCAGACGAAAATGAAAATGAAATTTACCTGGAGACTTTAGAAAATGATAAAGATTAAAGAAAATGAGAATGGAAGGGAATATAAAAGATTTCTGACGATACTTTTAAAATCGCTTAATTAAGAACCGATTTTGTATACCACATACAAAATCGGTTATGAGAGAACCGATCTTAAAAGTACTTTTAAGTCGATTCTTTTATAACCGATCTTAAAAGTGTCACTTTTAAGATCGGTTCTCTCATAATCGATCTTAAAAGTGCTTTTAAGATCGGTTCTTTTGTAACCGATCTTAAAAGTACCACTTTTAAGATCAGTTCTTTTATAACCGATCTTAAAAGTACTTTTAAGATCGGTTAAATTTTAACCGATCTTAAAAGTGTTCATGTTATTTACGAAATTGTCACCGCGTCACTTTTAAGATCGGTTACCTTATAACCGATTTTAAAACTCTGATTTTAAATCCAATTTTTGCACTAATGATTTTTAAAACATACTGAATTTTCTAAACTTAATTTATTGCATAATTTCAATAAAACATTTAGATTAATAAAATTTAGAATAATCATGTAGTTTGATTCCTGAATTTGATAGACATAGTCATATTTTTTTTTTAAATTAAAAAAAATGTAAAATTAGTCTATAAAGATAAAAATTAAAAATCATATTAATTTAAAACTAGAAAAACGTTATGAAATTAATGTGTTATTTTATTAACTTTTTTTTTTCTTTTTTTATATAACCGCAATAATGAGATTTAAACTTAAATTAAATATCATGTAATATACCAAATCTCCAACCATTTGGTCGACCCCATCCCAGCAGATTAATTTTTAGTTCCATTTTTTATCTTGTTCTATAAAATTGTACGTATAGCATCATTTCCAAAATAATAAAGTATAAATATTTTATTTTATTTGTATTTAAAGTGAGCAAAGTTGGTGAAACATTTTAAATTAAATTAAAGATAGATGTACTTATTATTTTATTTTGAGAGAATATGACCGAGAAGTTTTATTTGGTAATTTTTATATATTTATTTCCCTTTTAAGGGGAAAAATAAAAAGGTTTAATATATGGAATTTTTATAGATTTTATTCTAAATATACTGTGTACTTCTTTTTTAACATTATCATCTAATGATAAAATGCCATATGTAATAATAGAAACAAAACAATTTACATTAGTTAAGAAATACTGTTTACATCATTAATTTTGTCTTAAAAAATAGCTTATTTTTCTAAATTATCATCCTTTGAAATTTGATATATTGAAAATACAATCTTAATTATATGAAAGAGTATTTCAGACATAACAACACTAAATAAAATAAAATTTGTTTATATTTAAGACTGATTTTTTTTACTTATATTCATAACCGATGAAAGTAGTACATTACATTTTTATATAATTAAGAGGTGTGCCATGGACTTTTATTTGCCACCCAATTGATCCCGTCTCACTATTTCAATCCATTTAGAAGTTAAAAAGCATTTCTAATGAGACTTTTTTCTTAAGTCATAGATCAAATCTCACTCTTTAATTACAAAACCAAAAATATTGAATGACTTGTATCAATGAATTTCAATGTGCACCTAATATGTCATTTGATGAATAATATTTAATGTGTGTATTTAATATATCAATGTATAGTAAATTATTTATACACTTAAACATTCAATGTATAATACTTAATTTTTATATTTAATATAAAAAAAAATTTAATGTGTATAAATAGAAATTATATATAATCTTAAATGTATTTGATGTAGTAAATTGATATGACTGACATTTATTACCATTCATCAATAATTTATTGATTTTAAACATGTTATTGTTATGAAATATTCATTGACTTTATCGAAATTGATTTTTGTAAGGAACTTTTCTGGCTAGTGATTACTTTTAGTGTGGTCTCATCTTTTAACCATGTTCTTTTCATCAACAAAACTACTTAAACTTGAAACCTTGCTTGATGAGCAAGTCCAATTTTACTTGAAGCACCAACTTGGTGCATTTGACAATATTTAGTGTTCTTAACAAGATTTGTAAGTGCTCCAACAGTAGGGATGATGTCCTACTTGTTCCAATATTCACAATAGAGTGAGAAGCACTTACAAAGACATTCTGACGCTCAAGTTAAATGAGAGTCTAGGTTAAGAATGAAATAAGGTTAGAATGATACTTGATACTCTATATATCGGTGGTTGATCTTATTTATAGATTTAGAGATTAATGTTGCATCACTACAAGAAAAACGTAAATTTTTTACAGATAAAATCTGTCAGTAAAAAGAAATATTTGTTGGAAAGAGAGAATTTTAATTTCGACGGATGCAAATCCATTCGAAAAAAAAATCCACCCGCACATTTTTTGAAAACCTTTCCAGAAGATCACCTATCCTTAAATTGTTTCAAGTCAAGTACGCTTAACTATGAAGTTCTGATAAGATAAACTACAAAGAAAAGTATATGCATCTTGTTATTATAGGTAGTACAAATTAATTGTTTTAATTCATCCTCAATTATACAATCTCATACTTATACAATCTCTGGATCCCTATTATTCCGGTATGTTCGAACTGTTATAAAAAAAAAATATATATATATATATTATAATTATATTATATTTAATTATATTAACTAATAATAATAATTATATTATATTTAATTAATCTATATTTGTGTATATATTTACTTTTATAATTAATAATTTACGTATTTCTATTTAAAATTAATATTATGATACAATTTAAGTTATTCATTATAAGTTTTAAAGTTTAAATAATAATATATATTTTTTAAAATATTATTTTTATAATTTATAATGATAATATAATTTATAAAATTATAAATATTTATTTATTACATATTAAAACTTATCTATTATATATATAATTCCGTCATATATATTTAACTTCAAGAAAATTCAATATCCATGTCGACGTTGTATACACTGAATCCTGAGAACAAACACATATACACGAAAGATCATTGAAGATGCAAGATATATACATTATTCTAGTTTTTACCAAATATAAGACATTCTTGACCTTCTTCTAATAAAATCACTACTTACGTATCCAGCTGAAACAACTTTTGATTATTGAGTCCACTAAGATGTAATTTTTCTCTCTTTTTAGAGAGAAACTATTTTTACTACTGAGTTTTTTTAATAATAATAGAAGTAGTAGCAATATTGGTGACAACATAAATAATTAACAATAGTGGTGCCTCAGGGTGGTGATTGTACATGCAGTGACAATTATGATGAAGACGGTGATTTTAGTATTTTGTATTTATGGAAAAAAAAAATAAGACAATTTTTTATTTTCGTGTTGAACGAAAATAAGACAATTTTTGGGTCAAGTAAAGCCAATACAAACGAAGCATAAAACCATACTTTAGACTGAAATGATCCACACAACTCATTGGAAGCCATCGTGTTTGAAATTCGAGAAAAGAAATATTTTTCCTTGACAGACATATGTTCTTTGATGATCATATAATAAAAAGAGACACTATCGACCACTCCAAAGTCCAAACAAGGATGCTATCACTTTTTTTTTATAATCCGATATTTAAAATTTTATAGATATTTTTTAATATATGATTGCCAATTTTAATCATCTTTATTGTTATCAAACGGAATATAAAACATTTCCATTGGATGCAATTTCTAATAGAATATTAAATATTTTCGACAGATCAAATTTTCGATAGAATATTAACCATTTTCGATGGATATTCCGTCAAAAATCTCTTGTCAGAAACCATGAAATTTTTGACAAACCATTATCCACTAGTAACATTTTTTCGAAATTTTTTGACTTAAGCATCTGTCGAAAATTTTCGTCGAAAATTCTTACATTTTCGACAAATATA